TCTAGAATCTAAGCCTTTCTTCTGTCTAAAAAACCAGTCCCTTATGACTACAAAGAAAACCATCCAACAGAGAACAATGTAATGTGATGCAGTAATTTCTGCTTGAAATTGTTGCAGTAGAGTGCATGGGGATTTGACAGAAGGCTTCTGGGTTTGAGGGGCATCTGAGAGTATTTTAAATCAGCCCTTTTTTAAAAATCCTCTAGATGTTGACGTTCATCATGCTGGCTCGACTCTCCACGCTGTGCCCTAATGCAGTTCTACAAAGGCTAGAACGATTGATTGAACCCCTGCGGGCAACCTGCTCTACTAAGGTACAGTTAAATGAAAGCTTCAGTTATCAGATATATTTGAGCGTCTGCTATTTTGGAAAAAAAAGTCAGTGCTATTCTTCCGTGTGCAAAAGAGATTTTCCAAGATCTGGAAAGTCTACAAGCACCACTGCTTTGGTACTGCAACCTCGGTCTTAATGGCTGGGGAAAATCAAGAATTTCTCATTTGTAGTAAAACAAGAATTAAACATTACTGGAAGGTATGGTACCTTAGACAGTGTTGTCAGAACTTGCTGAAAATGAGCCAATTTGGGGCATGCAATATTTAAACGACTTGTCACGGAATGGAATTTTTGTCACAAGTTCTTAAAAACTAGAACTCTGCAGAAAATATTTACAGCAATATTACTTTAGTCTTAAGGTTAAACTCAGCCTCCTTAAATCATAATTTGCTTATTTCCATACTTGCAGTAAATGGCACTCAAGATCAATTTAGTTTTGAGACTTCCATTGTGGTTCTGCTTAAAAAATGAGTAAAAACATTGTGTTGATGTTCCATTGGCTTTGAATCAGATGTGCTCAATTATTAAATGAAAGAATGGGGTTTTTAACTGCCATCCCTGCAAAGTCACCTGGGTCCTTTCAGCTTGCAACGTGTAACAAATATTCTACAGTTGGAACCAAAATAGCTCTGCTGATGTACAAGCCACAGTAACTATGGGAGACAGAGCTAGATTCTGTGTTGGCTTTACAGGTGTAAAAGAACGAATACAAAGCAAATTTATTTTCTGCTTAGTATTCAGTATGCAAATAGCAGAGGGATGTTTTTACCTAATTAAAGACTTAAAAGTGAAGAGCCAGCAAAACCAACCAGTGAAAAAGTAACTACAGTTGTTAGAGTTCATGTAATTTATTTCACACGTAGGTGGGGCAGTTATAATTGAGGATAGAAGTACCCAGTCACCTTGGCTACTAATAGAAAATCAAGTTTTGTTTAATTTGGTCAAGTGTATTATACTGTGCCTAGAATTTATATTTTCAAATGTGTATCTTAAACTGATGTATCTATGTAGCACTTGCCAGTGGAGATGTGTGTAGATAAAGGCAGTATCTCTTTGTGAATACATGTACAACCTTGTTCATGATCATCTTGATGATGAAAAGTGTAAGTACCTCAAATTTCATTCTAAGATGAAGGCATAACTTCTTTAGGAATGTTGAACAGTGCTCAGGGTTGATTTAATTCTGATCTTTCTGAATATGATCTACATGGATTGCTTTTGAAAAACTCCAATTAACTCCACCTCTCTCACTACCTTGACAGATGAATATTAATGCTGATAAATGTAAAGTAATGCATACCAGAAAAAAATCCCAACTGTATGTATAAAATGGACTAATTTAGCTGTTACCACTTGAGGCAGATCTTGGGAGTCATGATGGATAGTTCTTTGAAAACATCCACTCAATGTGCAGCAGCAGTTTAAAAAAGCTGCGAATCATTAAAGGGATAGACTAGGACAGATCTTATTGCCTCTATATAAATCCATCTTGAATACTGCATGCATATGTAGTTGCCTCATCTAAAAAAAGGTATCTCGCCTTTAGAAAAAGTTCAGAAAAGAGCAATAAAAAGGATTAGGGGTATGGAACGGCTGCCATATGAAGATCAATAAAACTGGGACTCTTCAGATTAGGAGAGATGACTAAGGCAGGGTGTGTGTGTAAGTAAAGGTCTATAAAATCTTGTGTGAAAGTGTTATTTACTCATAACACCAGAGTTGGGGTTATCAAATAAAATTAATAGGTAGAAGGTTTATCAAACAAAAGGAAGTACTTCACATAGTCAACCTGTGAAATTCCCTGCCTGTTTATCAAACAAAAGGAAGTACAACTTCACATAGTCAACCTGTGAAATTCCTTGCCCGCGGATGTCATTAACAGCAGGACTTTAACAGGATCCAAAGAAGAACCAGATAAATTCATTGCTTTTAGCCATTGGCCAAGAATAGTGGCCCTGGCCCGTGTTTGTCAAAAGCTGGGAAGGATGATGGGATAGATCACTTGATTACTTGTTCTATTCATTCCCTTTGGGGCACCTAGCAGTGGTCACTATCAGAAGACAGGATACTGAGCTAGACTGACCTTGTCTGACCCAGTATGGCTATTCTTATGTTCTCCCAGTAAGACTGTGTGTATATTCCCAGCATACATGTTTGGCTTTTTCCAGATCCCATTTAAGGGCACTGTTTTTAATTTTTTTAGGTAAAAGCTGGTTCAGTGAAACAAGAATTTGAAAAGCAGGATGAACTGAAACGTTCAGCAATGAGGGCAGTAACTGCTCTACTAACCATCCCTGAAGTAGAGAAGAGTCCAGTGATGACTGAATTTTCTTCTCAAATCAGAGCCAATCCAGAAATGGCTTCACTCTATGAAAGCATTCAAAAGGACTCAGCTTCATTATCTACCATAGAATCAATGGATATGAGTTAAGTCTGCCATATCCTTCCCCATCGCTCTTCTCCAACATGTAAATGAAACAAGATGCTTCACTGGCAGGCAGAAGAATGTCTCAGAGCTGGCCTCAGCTTTAAAAAAGTGTGTATGTTTTTAAAAATGACTAGTTCTGCTTTGAGTCAGACCTCTGATGAAACTAAGTTAGCAATAATAAGGTAAACTGTGTGGTATACTGCAGCTGGAACAAAGCAAGTATATTTAATTTGGAATTATTCTAAGCTTTAAGTTCAGCTATCTAACTTTACTGTTTCTATTTTTCAGTAATAAATTGTAACTCCCTCAGAGCAATTTCCCACCGTGGTAACATTTCTTGCACTACCATTTTGGATAAGGACAGTAGTTTAAAGGCAACTTAAAAATGCATGTGTAATGGTTTTAAAAAATCCAAAATGTTTGCAAAAGATCTATCCTCACTAGACTAGTTTAAAAATTAAGAGCAATGTCCTGAAATTCAGAACAAGCAAAGCGCCAGTATCATAGCCCTTCTTTCAAATGTTTGCTGTAAACTGCACTTGAGTGGAATTTAACATTCAAGCTTTAATGATTTCCATTGTAGCTAAACTCACAATTTTGATAGTCATTTTTATGGCTGCAAAAGGCAAAGCTCTCAATTTTCATTCTCCACTAGTTTGATTTCAGAGCTACTTTGTACAAACTGTCTTCCAAAACTGAATGTCATGCTTAATTATACTTTTAATCTTCCATATATTTAATTTTTTATATATGCAGCAGTGTTTTCCTGACTTAGTGCCAGAAGTGTTCCACAAGGAAATTACTCTTGGCAGTGGCTGTCAGATACCAAAGCATTCTGTGACAACAATAGATTTGAGTAATAGCAAACCTGAGACTGAAGCCATAGTACTTCTTGCAGCCATGGATTTGTAATTTTCCTTTTCAGGTTGCTTTCTTTTTGACTTGAGTAGTTAAGAGTGAAACATTTAAATGTACTATTTATAGTGCAAACTGTGAGAGCTTTCCATTTGGTATGAGTAGCATCCCGGGACAATAAAAATGTATTTTGAAGCTGTATTTAATAGAAGTAAAACATTTGGTCAACTAAAGCATTTCAGCTATGCTGCTCCTTGTTCATGTCTCTCAAGCTACTTTAAGGACTACATGTATTCATGTGATGTTTCAGAAGACAGTTTAAAAAATTTCCTTTTCTATTTAATACACCATCATAGTAATTGTTAGACATTGTTTAATGTACGCCCACTATCAATAGTGAAAGGTGTAAAGGAGACCAGGGATGTTGGGGGGAAAAAATTGACATAGTAGAAATCAAGCCTGGAAAGCATTAACTGATAAGTAATTTTTTCAAGATTGCATTCCAATCAGATATGCTCCAGCACTGCAAGCTTGTTGGTTATCCTCTCCTGTAGCACAGAATCTTATCTTTACTATAAAGCATTTTGTATTAACTATTGGCGGAGTATATTACCACCTCTTAACTGCCACAACTAAAAACAGCATTGAGGTGCAGCATTACTGAATTTAAATAAAGCAACACATGCTTCTATAATTTAGAAGCATGCATGATATGCTCCAGCACTGCAAGCTTGTTGGTTATCCTCTCCTGTAGCACAGAATCTTATCTTTACTATAAAGCATTTTGTATTAACTATTGGCGGAGTATATTACCACCTCTTAACTGCCACAACTAAAAACAGCATTGAGGTGCAGCATTACTGAATTTAAATAAAGCAACACATGCTTCTATAATTTAGAAGCATGCATTCAGAAATGTCAAGCTTGCTAAGATTGTGGGAAAGTATCCCATCAGGAAGATTTGAACTAGTCTTAAATCTACTTGTATGGTGTAGCAGGAGGGCAATTCAAGCAGTGTTGTACTCCTGTTCCCCTTTCAGCTTCTGCTTGCATCTTTAAATTCAACTGCTGTTTAGAAATGAGTTCTAGACAAGCTAACCCAGATTATGAACTAAGTAAAAGTATTTACCTTAGTAGCCTATCCCTCGAGGCCTCATTTTGATTTCAACAAGCTGTCTGTTTCACAAGTGTAGAAAATCTCATACTAGGAAAATAAAGACTAAGCCAGTACCGGTGCAACTTCACACCATAGCTATAAATGAGGCTCCTTCCCTCCAACTTCAAGACTAGCACAGAGGGAAAATGGAGGTGCTCAAGCTGCTGCTAGTTTCACAGGGAGATGAAATCTTCATGCAGTTCTGATCCAATGAAGACTTAATTCAATTCAAACATTCAACACACCACCACATTGTGGGGTTTTGTATTTTATTAAATACAGTTACACAAAAGAGGAGCACATTTATTCGTTTTCCTCACTGCGCAGTCTGGCATTTGGATTGGTGATCTTGATAGCAAGCTGAGCTGCTCTCTCCACAATTACTTTGCGGTTCTTGGAGGAAACATTGTGAGCAATCTCTGCACAATAAGACCTATTAAAATAATATGGATAAAGAGTCAGTACTTCAGCAACATGACACAGGCCAATATTCAGTTTACAGCCTAGGAATAAAATCTCCCCCTTTAAGCAGCATAGATACAGCAACTTTGAACTGAGTGTGCGGGCATTCGCTAGGGAAAACACAGCAGCTATGTCTAGACTGGCAAGTTTTTCCGCAAAAGCACCTGATTTTGCGGAAAAACCTGCCAGCTGTCTACACTGGCTGCTTGAATTTCCGCAAGAACACTGACTTCCTACTGTCTGAAATCAGTGCTTCTTCCGGAAATACTATGCTGCTCCCATTCGGGCAAAAGTCCCTTTTGCGCAAAGCTTTTGTGCAAAAGGGCCAGTGTAAACAGCTCAGATTTGTTTTGCGCAAAAAAGGTGATCGGGGCTTTTTTTGCTCAAAAGCGTGTCTAGATTGGCATGGACGCTTTTCCGCCAAAAGTGCTTTTGCGGAAAAGCATCCGTGCCAATCTAGATGCTCTTTTCTACAAATGCTTAACGGAAAAATTTTCCGTTAAAAGCATTTGCAGAAAATCATGCCAGTCTAGACGTAGCCAGCAAGTGGCTCCAAGTATTTTTGCAAGAAAGTTACTATATTTGAATATTTACTTTAAGCACTGGGTGGGTATCTAATGAAAGTTCATGATTTAGGCATTTAGAAATACACACATCTGAGATTAATCAGGTGTATAAGCAGTACCTCTTGAGGAACTCCTAACATTCTTCTGGACTATTTTTAATTAGGATCAAATAGACTTACATTTGAATATCTATTAAATCTAAACTCTGAACACACCCTATTAGTTGAAAAATCAGTTTAGATTTTAAATCTAATATTTTAGCAAAATCTACTAAAGTTTCATAGTCCACAAACATTCCAACTTGCATTTCATTTCCTCTCTCCCTCTCTCATCCACCCACTGTTGCAGAAATGTAACTCTTGATTCACAAGATAACCCTTCCTGCTCCCAATTAACACACACTGATATCTGCTGTTGCAACTATCTACAATTCTCTTCTTCAAATAACAACTGCATTTTCTTCTGCTGACCCCACTTCTCTACATTATCCTAACATCCCTAGGATCAAGTTACTGTGGGGGAAAATGCAGAATTGATCCAGTGAAAACAGCTAAGTTGGGAGTAGCATACACGTCAGCAGTGACTCAGGCCCTACCACTGACAGTAAATATGATCTTAACACATTATTCCTAAATCATTACTTCCTTCCTAGCTTGTTATTACAGCACTTAATGGTTAAGTTGATGGAAAGCAATCTATCTGGCTAGTATTTTCTAGGATGCTGCTGCTGCAGCAGTTTGTAGACAGTGAGGTGTTCAGTACCTTGCCAAATCAGATCCTGAATTTGATGTGATACTAAGACTATGGAATGTTAAAAAGCAGGTCAATCGGTAACCGTTTAACTACTGAAAATTTCAGCAGTTACACACACCCACAGTCAGCTCCCCAGGAGCCAGCTTCCATCTGCTTCGCTGCCTGCTCCTTCCTAACTACCCTCATTCCAGGAGTGGGGTGGGAACCTGCACATTAACAGATAAGCTAAGACTTAGCAGTTAACCATGTAACTAGTTCATCTATTACATCCCTAATTAAGACCATACTTCTGTCTTTACAGGAAAACTCCTTATTGCTCCCCATCACTGAAGATTAAGTAGAGATATAAAATCCTGTTTAATTGGTTAACCACTTAATGGCTTAAATGGGATCCTGCAGACAAGGGGCTGGACCAGTCTGGTTGGCATCCCTCTTGCCCATGGTGCAGTGGGCTCACCCAGGCTGGAGCAGCTCCCCCCTTTCCTCTAGTTAGCCTGTGATGCTTACCCGTTACCCCAAGTTTTAATGAACAGGTTAGACAAACCACTCTCAGAAACCCTAGTTAACCTTGTTCTTGCTCAGCACTGGGGTTAATGACTATATGATTTCTCCAGAGCCCTTCTGCCCTACAGGTCTTCAGCTCTGAATAACTACATTAGGAAGCCTGTATCATAGGACTAAGATCAATCTACAAAAACCTATAAAAAGCAACGGTTAGGGTTTTATTTAATCAAAGCTCATAATTTCTTCACTGTGATATCAAAATTCAGTAACTACTGAAGTATCACACAATGATCTTCTAACACCTGAAGCTGACAAATAAAAACATTTTATTAACATCCAAGGAAGGGAGACTTGAAGGGGAAACAAGGTAGGCAAGCACAGCCATTCTTTTATTTTAATTCAGGTGTTCAAATATTCTCTGCCTAGGACCCCCAAATTCAAATACAGCCTTGTATTTTTTAAGTCAATTCCTAAAATCCTTTATGGTCACATCTTACAGTCCTTTGGTGTTCCAAAAAAGCAAGGTATTACAGGAACAGCAAGAAATCATGGCTTGGTTTTGAGTTAGAGGGTACAGGCTGGGAGAGTTACTGGTCTGCAAGCTGATACTGCTGAGGGGTTTGGAAGCTGGAGAAAAGAGGTTACAGCAGTTGCAGGCTAGCGCTAGCTTCAATTATTCCCCACCCCTACCCGCTCCAGCAAAAATTCTAATTAGGTTGAGCATGTATTCCTGCTTTTCAAAGTTTCAACTCCTTGCCATCTCTAATTGCAGGGCTCGACAAATCAGGCAATCTACTCACCCATGGCAAGTAGATTTTAGCCTGGTGCAGCCGTGCAGCGCAGTCTGCGCGCACGCAGCGTGTGCTTCCGCGTGGCTAGCAATGGGCTCGCCGCAACTTGGCAAGTCCTGTCTATTTGGATATCAGTAACTTCCAAAGGCCTCCAAACATGATCAAGGCTCTAATGAGTTAAGCTCCTAAACAGCATAGTACTTCCTGAGAGCAAATTATGGTGTAGATGGGCAAGGAGAGCGAACTGCTCCAGCAAGAAGCAAAGACAGGAGGAAGAGTGAACAGAGCATTTCACTCTCACTAGAACTTAAAATATAGCATAAGGATAATGAACCGATGGCCCACTGGTTGGTTCTGGCCCCCAACTTGTGATGTGTGCCACTCACATTGGCCAAGAAATTGTACTCAATGAGACCAGCAGGTGCACGATGGCAGGGAGTCACCTAAACTAGGAATGGAAAGGGTTAACTGGTTACCCTGTAAGCCAGGGGTGGGGAACCTCAGGTCCAGGGGCTCCGGCCTCTGAGGTTCAGCACCCCCCTTTGTTGGGGAGCCCATGCAGGTGCTCCAGCCCCCTTGCTACTCCACCGCAGGGCTGGCGCACACAAAATCTACTAGGCGGGGGCCCCCCCAAGGCTCTGGTGCGTGAGTGGAATGTGAAGGATGTTTTTCTCCTCAGTCGGGAGCCACATCAACAAGGATTATTTTGTGCTTCTTACTTGTGTGGTCCCTAATTTTTTTGTGGGTCAGTGGCCCCCAATCCAAAAGTTTCCACACCCCTGATCTCACAGCTTCTAGCCCTTTCAATCAGTCTTTCCCCACCCTTGCAATCCACCCTGGACTCCTGCCTCTCCCCCTCCCTTGAGAGCCTTGACTTTCATCACAACATTGAAACAGAATTGAAAGTGTAAACCTACATCACAGAATACCAGGGTTAAGTTTTAAAGAGATTTTTCCCAACTTACTTGTTACTCATCAGCAGCACCTCAAGTTCCTTGACATTGTGGACCAGAAACTTTTTGAATCCGGTGGGCAGCATGTGTTTTGTCTTCTTATTGCTACCATAACCAATGTTGGGCATCAAGATTTGCCCCTTGAATCTCCGGCGAGCTCTATTATCAATACCTCTTGGTTTACGCCAGTTGCGCTACGGAAATGCAATGACATTTTAAGAATACAATTACACAATCATGAAGAATAAATAAAATACACAGGGTGGACGTAATCTTTCAATCAAGCATCTCTCACATCCTGTATAACAATAGAAGCACATTTGCAAAGAGCCTCTACCATACAGCATTAATACAGAAAATCCACATTTCTGATACTGGATCATTGAAGGTACTTTTTATGTTTTACCCAATAACTTCTAAATACACTCACTTCTCAGACTTCCAAGATTTAAACACTTTTTTTTTTTTTTAATCAGAAGGATATATACCTTGATCTTGACATAGCGATCTGACTGATGGCGGATGAACTTCTTGGTTCTCTTCTTGACGATCTTAGGTTTCACAAGGGGTCTGAGGGCAGGCATGGTGTCTAAGATAAATAAAACAGGGATAAGAAACAATACAGAACAAGATGTAGAAGGACCTCATCTCATTGAAACATGTAGCAGATTGTCTTCCATTAACTAACCACTTGCAGAGCTAGTAATGGAATGGGTATTCCTCTGCAATAGCTCTCCCTCCCACTTCCGAAGCTGGAAGAGTACTGAAAGCTCTCCAGACGCGGTCCTGGGGAGGTCCTATTTTGCCCCACATAAGTCAAAATTATTTGGGAATAAAATATCTTCGCAATTCATATCCTAGAACTTCCACCAGATGTTTTTAATGAACCCACTGCCCTGTTCTGTGGTGGATGTGTCCAAACAGCTATTCTTGCAGCACATACTCCATTATATAGAAAACGAAATAGTATGTATAATTTTGCCCCATCTTGCCTATATCTCTAATCACCCCAGCAGCTGTACATCAATTTTAGTTGTGTGTTCATTAAAGAGGTTTCCTCTATGAAATGCAGTAACTCCCTCTAGCATTAACGCTAAAAGACCTTTCCCTTACCGATAGCCAAACGCTCACTTCCACTGACCAACACACTGGCTTATGCAGCCACTGTAAACTGGGATTTCCAGTACGATCTTGGTTGAGAAGTAAACGAGTCTCAGATACTAAGACGTTCAGCACCGTAGTACGATATTGGAAAGTGAAGACCCCGTGGTCAGGCGACTCGTGTGAGTAAACTGCCATTCAATAGGAGCGGGCTATGGGGGAAGATCGTACGGCCACGCGCGTATGCTGCTCTGGGCCAATACGTCTCCCCCCCCCCCCCAGCAATTCCCCTAGGATTGCAGGCGCACAAGTCGGCCGGCGCCAGAGCCAAGGCCCCGCTGCGGCCCCAGAACTCGGAGGCGCAACCCGCGCGTTGCCGGCACCGATACGCGCCTCGCCGGCAGGCCAGGCTGGGAAGCGGAGGGACGCTCCGGAGACGCCCCGTCTCCGAGCTCCGGTCACCACTTGCTCTACCCCCCACTTCCCCAGGGCCGGCGCGAGCCCCCCGCTTCCGTTGGGGAGCCATAACTCGCCCCTCCCGGAGCAGCCCAGCTCGGCCTCGCCAACCTCCCCCCCAGCCTTGGGCCGCCTCTTGAATCCGGCGCGGCCGCCAGGCGACTCCCCGGCTTGGGCTCCGCGACCGAAATAATTCGCCCCCCGCCGGGAAATACCCCGCAGCGCTAATGGAGGAGACCGCCGACAGGCCTTAGGAGGCGGCAAGGCCGGGCTAGCGGACCCCCCGGCAATAGATGGCAACGGATTGCGGCCGGCCGGGACTTACCGGCGGGGGAGGGGGGGGGCCCCCCCCCGGCGGGGGGGCGGG